AAAACAAATGATTAATTAACAAGATTGTATTTTTGAAAAATTACTAATTAATCAATGGATCTTGATCGATAATATAAGACAATTATTTTTAAAAAAATCATTTTTCCTTTTATTTTGATCAATATATCATTAAAGATAAACAATCAACAATTGTTTATTTTTTTTAATGTTTTTTCAATAAAATAAAGAGTAACATCATATAATTTATTTTTTCTTCGTTTTACTCAAATTAAAAAAAAAAAGAATATTTGAGAATATAATTAAAAAACTTAAACTTCGACTGATTGATAATAAAGTTTAAGGTGAGTTTGACCATTGGATGATCGACCATATCTTGACAGAACATTGAAACAGGTATCAATATGACCTTATCATTAGAAAAAAAACAATTTTCATTCAATTTAATGTCTCATATAAATATTTTCAATCGATCTTTAATCAACCAGTTTTATCATTTATTATTGAATCTTCATCATAAACATCTAAATGATTAATAAATTAAATTAATATTTAATATTTAAATACAAAACAAAATTCACACGAAGATTTTTGGTAGTTGTTGGTGATCTACTACAAAATTTTTTTTCATAATTTGTTCATTATCTTATCATATCTTTTTTTTTTATTTTATCTAATATCTTTAAGGATATTTTTTAGAAATGTCATGTTGTCTTACGAATAGATCTATTAAGAAACTTTTAGATTTATCTTACATAATTTTCTTATTTGTTTTTATATATTCTAAATTTATATGGATCAATATTCGTAAAATGAATATTCTAAAAAATAAAAATAAAAATTTTTAAATAAAACTAAAAAAAGATCGATCACACAGCTTTTTTTTCAACAAGTTTTAATTGTTTTATTTGATCCTTTGTATGAATACAAATAGATGTTCCTTGTTTTCCTGCTCTACCAGTTCTACCTGATCTATGAACGTATGTTTCCCAATCCTTTAAATTGTGGAATATCAAGACCACATACTGATGCATCTGTTATTATTAATAAACGAATCTTTCCTTGAGGAAAATTCTTTAAAAATAAAAAATAAAAATAAAAAAAATAAATAACCATTACAACTTCTGCTCGTTTTCTTTGTGGAAGATTCCATGAAGAACATCTGATGAAATAGAATAGATTTCATTTGATTTAGCTAATAAATCGCATTCTTGTTTTGTTTGACAAAAAACAATTGATTGACTTTTATTTATATTATTTGAATATTTTTCAAATAAAGATAAAACAATTTCTGCTCTTTTATCAATATTATTTAATTTAAATGATAAATGTTGAACATTAATTGCTGTTTTTTGTTGAGAATCTCCAATTAAATTAATAAATGATTTATTTGTTTGCGACATATAACGAGATAAACTTTTTTTTAACCAATATGAAATTGTTGCAGAAAAAACAATCATGACATTTTCTTTTTCCACAATAAACATTTTTAATAATATAATCAACATCATCCTATAACAACAAATATTTTTATTTAAAAATAATAAAAAAAAGAAAAATCTACCTGAAAACCCATGTCAAGCATTCTATCAACTTCATCTAAAACAATAATCTGACATTGATTAAGAAATACTTTTTTTTTATTTAAAAAATCTTTAATTCTTTCAGGTGTACCAATAACAATATCTGAACCTTTTTTTAATGATAATTCTTGTCGAGAATATTCTTTTCCACCATAAAGTGTTGTTATTAATAATGAACGAGATTTAATTGAATAAAAAATCATTTGTTACTTGTTTAGCAAGTTCACGTGTTGGTTCTAATACTAAACAACGTGGATATCGACCTAAAATATTTGATTTATCATCTTGAAGACGTTCAACTATTGGAAGACTAAATGCTAACGTTTTTCCAGTTCTAGTACCTTTTTGTATTTAATTAAATTAATTATTTGTTTAAAAAGAAAAAAACATTCTTACGTGCTTGAACAATACAATCTTTTCGATTAATTATATCATTAAATGAACTATATTGAACAGGAAATAAATATTCAATTCCTCTATCTAAACATTTTATTAGAAAAAAATCTTTTTGCTTTTTATTTAAAATATTTCAATGAAATATCTTTTAATCTGGCATGTGAGTGATCCTCCTTTTCCTCCTATCCTCCTTTTTTTCAAAACCATCTCCCTCTTTAAAAATTAAACGTAATCTAATTCTTTGACTCCTATTCACTGCTCCTATTATACTTCTATCGCAAGGAATAAAACGGGAAATATATCAGCCGTATAGATAGGTAGAAGACTGTTTTGAAAAAATGGACGATAGGTGGAAAAGGAGGATCACTCACATGCCAGCTTTTAATCTATTTTGTGTTTGTTGACTTACATTGACATTTTTAAATAAACCAAATTTTTGTTCATTTTCATTTTCATTTGTTAATTTAAGATTAAATTAAGTTTGATATCGAACAAAAGAATAACCGAAAAATAAATAAGTTATCTTTATTTTGTATTAATCAAAGATTAATTTACTTTGAACAAATAATTCTTTATTATTAATTCGATTAATAAATCCAATACATAAACGACGAATACCAAATGAATATGGGAACATTCTTCTTCTTTTTTATTTTTATTATCAAAAAATAATTTTATTTTTAACTTGACTAATATCGATAAATCCATATTTCACCTATTGAAAAAGAAAATAATTCTTCTCAATGGTTATCATTAGTTGTCGATCGATGTTTATCTATTAATAAATCATTAGTTTTATTATACGAAGTTCGAAGTTATATTCTTCTTCCAAACAAAAAATCTCTCATTATTATAATGATGAAAGATATATTTATCAATCTGTCTAATATATAAACATATTATATTATATTAATTTAAAGATTACTGATCAAGATTATTTTGTAGAATTTTGCGGAACTCACCTAAACTTTCGAAGAAAATAGTGGATGGAAGTTTTAAGGTCTCCTCTCCCCACCCCCTCAAAATAGAATCACTTACTGATTTTCGCTTCGTTGGCTTGTGAAAACTCGACCTCCACTCTACCACAATACTATACAGGATTGGCCCGAAGGGAGGTTGTGTGGGTTGTGACAACCCCCAATCTTCAAAAAAGATCATTTCTTTTTTGCTCAACAAACTTTGAAAATTTTCTTCGATTTATCACCAAAAGTAATATCACACCCCAAAAATCGCAACATTTGACCTTCTACTCCACAAAATTTCGCTACAATCCCCCAAAGTTGATTGACTCGAGCCAGCCCTGGTACTACTATATAAAGTCAAATCTTTTTTTTTTGTTTGAAAGCTCGTCTCTAGGGCTAGCCTACCTCGTGGCCCGATTTTTAAAATAAGCCTTTTTATTATTCATATAAGAACACATCTCTGCAGAAAAAGCGCCATTTTTTAGCGTTTTTTTTGAGTCATTCAACTTGTCATCCCTTTTCTTCGCTTAAAAAGTATGAATTTAAAAAAGCTGTTAGCCCAATCCCTGACGGGATTAAAAATGTGAAACACGATCTAACTGTTCTAAGCGATCGCAGTAAAATAGTCATTGTATATATTAGGGACCACATTTTAGTCTGTCTGAGACAGAAAAAACAGAAAACATAACTTAAACCTTTATTATCCTGTTTATTTATATCCCTCCATGATTTCATATTTTACAACTTAATAATACCCATTCAATATGTTTTAGCATACTAAAACTGATCTCTTTAATAACGAATTGTATGATGTCGTCACAGTCTGTGAGCCTATTCTGGCTTGTCGGTCACGGTCTGTGGGGGAGGGGGGGGGTGCAAATTTCTACCCTTATACTTCAACAGGGTGTGGGTGTGGGTGTGGCGGTGGGTGTGGGCGTCCATGTAGAGAAAATGCATATCAACACCCACACCCACACCCCAAGATAGTTTATCTTCTGTCTGTCTGTCCGACCAATCAGAAAGCAGCACCATTTCGACAGTACAATGAAGAAGGAAAAAAAGGCAATATTTATTCAATACACAACAACAACATTGAGCATGACTTTCCCCCACCATCAACGCAAGTAGAAGAACAATAAGAGTCATTTTATTTTCTCGTCGACGTAATTCCTCGTACTGGTCAATGTCACAAGTGGAGGGGTTCGTCGAAAATTTTTCATCCAACTGCTGATTGTGTTGCATTGCCATTGTTTGAAGTAGAACGAAGATGGAGAGATGTAGAGCAAAAAACTGGTCAATTGAGGAATATACTTCGCGAAATAAGAAACGATGAGAAGATAACGAAGATTGTTGTCATGAAAGTTTTGACATTTGAGTATCAATGAAGCAAGAAAAAAAGGTAAAGAGAATAGCTGAGGAATAAGAGTAAAAGTAGGAGCAATGACAAGTTCTTTGTTCTCCATTAGAACAGTTATGATGAGACGAAAAGTCATTCTTGCTGATGGACGATAAGCTTGATCTAGAAATGCAATGATATTAATTGAAACTCTCGATTCATCTCAATCTGATTCCACTGACCAGAAACGATCACTACTGCCGGACAAGTCGAATTATCTGATGTTTGTTGAATAGTTGAAGTTTGTCGATCTATCACTGCTCTCATCTTGATCATCGAAACGGCTACAAACGAAGACGAAAATCTTTCCTTCCTGAGTTGAGATGATCAATACTTACGAGCAGCTCCTGCATTGGCATTCATCTTCTTCTTTGTCGCAATACAAATGATACCAATCGTACAAATCAGATTGATAAGAAAATGAACTAATGAATCCATGACGACAATGACATTATGTACATATTTCCATGATGGAATATGGACGGGAAATACCATTACACAGACGGTCGTTTCATTATTGTCACCATTGATTGCTGATTGGATGAATGCGAGCTCATAGGCACTGAGAAACAGAATCATCATCACAATTACGAAACAAATACGACAGGCAATGTGAGGATTTTTTAACCAACGACCATTGAGAATCACCATCACGTACAGACGCTCAACGGCGATCAATGAACTGAACCAATAAGTGAGGCGTGTCGAAGTAAGGAGAGAATAATTGATCAGTTTACAAAATATTGTATTAAACGGCAGAAAAGAATGGGAATGGAGGGTATTTGTTGTCAAATGGAGAAAGCGACCGAGGAGAAATGTGAGACTGAGTTGGTTGATGATACTCATGTAGAGAAGATATTCTCCAATTCCATTGTGACGGCATTTCTTTTGTCGAAAAGTGACGAAACAGCATAGATTGTTCAATAGACCCAAGAGAAATAATATGACAGGAATAAAGATCAGTAAGATGATTGTGAGATATTTTATAGTTGAAGATGAAGATTGAAGATCGTTGAGAAATAACTGATCAAGTGTAAACGAAAAGGATTCCAAATTGAACTGACATCGATTTCCCGAATGACACAATGGACAAATGCAAACGAGTTCTTTTCTTGTTCCTTTTAAACATTTCCCATTGGATTGACATTCATCACATCGATAATCTTCATGTTGATGAAAAAAGCATTCGACACCCAAATCATTCTCATTACAGATGCAAAGATAATGATCATCATGAAAACACAAGAGATGACGAGATTTGTTGTAACAGAGAGAATGATATTGAGCGACAGAAAGACCTAAAGAAGAGAGAGAGATCAATGTTGATGTTTGAGAGAAAAGATTTTGATTAACTTTGATTTGATGAAATGAATGATTGAATATGTTGACATTGATTGTTTTGATCAATTGAAAGATTGGCGATGAGTTGTGTTCGATTCAGTTGAACAGCAAGAAGATAAATTTGTTCTTCATCAAGTGAATGAATCCGAAGCAGAACGATTTCAGGATTTGTCTTTTCATTGTGAAAATATTTCAAGTGTGTTGGAAACATCGAATAAACATCTTGATTCATCAAATGAAGTTCTAATTGAATCAAATCGAGACGAAAATATTGTATAACACTTGCTTCATGATGGAATCCGCGAGTCTTGTCTTCCAAATAGAAACGAATCAATCCTTTTCGTTTTTCACATCTCTCTCCGAGAAATTCTTCGGTACAAGTACAAATGAATTGATAAGGTCTCAATTCTTGATAACAAGTTCCATTATTTCGACAAGGATTCTTTTCACAAACACTTGGTTTCAATAGACATTGTTGTCCAATGAAATTCAAAGGACAAATACAATAAGGCCATTGATTGCCTTGAGTGAGTCCCCGATACTCTGGTTGACACAAAGCATTGGATGAACAATAATTATTCACACAGAATTGATTGAGTTGAGTACAAAGGGGACCCGAATACTGAGTTCGACAAAGACATTTATATCGGGATGGTTGATTCTGTAATTGATAACATTCTTCATTTGAATGACATGAATTGTTTTGACAAAGATTCATCGATTTCTTCGTGGAATCGAGAAAATGAAGAATTTTCGCAAAACGATACACAGGAAGAAAATCGAAATAGATCGGATATTCCCAGACAGCAAATCGCCGAGGTTTTATGTTCAATTTCAATTCGAAAGCTTCGATTCGAATCGAAAATGGCTGAGAATGAATGATATTGAAGCGATTGAAATAACGTTGTCGTTTTTGTTCGATGGATTCATTGGAATGAGAATAATGAAAATACAGTCTTGTCTTTGTCAGGTGATCGAATTCATTCGTTGGTCGAAGATGAAATTCATTTGTACTCAAGACAAGATCATCTTGAAGAAACAAAACAAGATATTTATTGACGATCGATGGATCCGTATTAATAGTGTACTTGGAATGAGTATAATTGATATGAAAGATCAATGAAATTCGATCTGTATGATATTGACATTGATCTCCGTGATAGTGCGGAGAACAAAAACAAACGATCGAATCATTCTTCAATCGCATTCCAATGCCACGATTACATCGATTGAAGATCGAATCATTCTGCTGAGATGAAGAAGAATTCAATGGATTTGTCAACATTGATGATTGATATTCGGTGGTGATGGCATTTAATGGATATCGAAGTAAATGAAGTTGTTTTTCTGTTGTTTGAAAATCAAATTTACCTTTTCGTTTAGATGAGGAAACGAATTTGTCTATTTCACCACACATATATTCATCTTCATCATTAGAGCAACCTCGCTGATTATTACATCGTTCTGCTGTGCCCCCTCCCCTCTTCCAACACTGGATATAGTTTGATGGGAGAGGATTTCCATGCTTATCATTCATTTGGCATGGAAGTTTCTCACGGGAAGTATTCGTACAACGATGGCGAAATCGATGAGAAAGATCGACACATGTCTTCATTGATAAACATTGCAATCGATATCCAAGTGTCTGAAGAGACAAATAACAATGATTAATGATACTTCGTTCATCACATTGAGGTGGGCAAATGATGTTTTCATTGTTGAGTAGTGTGACATTGATACAATACTCATTGGACGATCGAAATGAAGAATTATTCTCGTGTGATCACGGGGATTTGCCAGTCAAATGACAAATACTCCATAGATTGTACCATGGGTAGATCTTCTGAAATTTGTCCACAACATCAAACATGTTCACCCAGGAATACTTGTCATTGAATGGATGAATACCAGAAGCAAAAATATTGTGTTCATCAGATCCATCGGGACAGTCAAAGATCAAGTTAAACATGGAAGTCAGTGAAATACAATGACCACTAGAACATTGCCATTGTCCAGGAAGACATCTCCAGAATGTTTCACAGAGAGAAGAATTCTCATCATCTTTTGATGCGAAGTCGGGATATGTGTCACAATAAGATCGAAAAGGGATTTTCTTCCAAAAAGTGTTCAATTGATTATTGTTGATGGAAGTTGAATTCCACGATGCTTCTATGTAATGACGAAGAATGGAGCAACCCATTTTGAATTGTTCGTTACAAGTGATTTGTGAGATTAATATGGATGTATCCATCCAATATTCATCGTATTGATTGAAACATACCGAATGTGAATCACCAAGCATATTGGCATACAAACAAGTGACTTGACCGATTGAACATCGAAAACGATGATTGCGAACATTGGCACACGATCTTACCACCAATGTATTGGACTTCTTTTCGTCGTCCGAGAAACAATTGCCAAATCCATCATTGATTCGATAAGCTGAAATACATGAACTGGTTCTAGGACAAACATCAATAAATTGATAGGAATGATTGTTGAATGTCTGAGAAGAATTGTGACAAAATTCATCATAGCCTCTTTTTGATTCTTCAGATCCGTTCAACCGTGATTTACAAAGTGAACCTGGATAATATGATGAATGTAAAACGTCCATTCCATCAGTTTGCTTGAGCAACTGGGCTAGATACCCACGACACTTGATAGAACCATTCATTTTCCATTTAGCCGCGAGCAATGATGAACGAAAAGTTTCGTTGTAATATCCGAAGATAAATGGAGCTAGTAATCCCCCATTAGGATAATGAGTGACATTCCACAATGAACAAGACTTTTTATATAATGCCGAACAACTATTATTCTCTCTGCAGGTACAATTGTGTTTCGTGTTGTTGGAGAATTGACATATTCGAAGATAATGACAATAATCATTGGTATTGTGTTCATCGAATATCTTCTTTTCAGTACATCTTCCGTTCTCCAATGTCCACAAACCTTCATCTCGAACAGTTTCACACCAAAAGAACTGATCACGACGATTCAGACAAGATGTTGTGGACTTTGCATTTGAACGCGAGAGGATCCTATTGTAAACACATTGTCCATCTCCACAACTCCAGCATTGATGATGGCAAAAGTCAGAGTCGCATCTCTGGCGGCATGAAGGACAGATTCGATCATCGCATTGAAAGTTCGGTGATTGAGACGGACAAATAGTGTTTTTAATTTGTTCGTTTTCATCCGATAAATCCAAACAATCGAAGTCTCCATCAAGAAAATATTCATCGGGAATACACATTCCATTCATACATCGATATTCATCTTCTGAACATTCGTTGAATTCGATCCTATCACAATTCTCTTCATCCAATCCAAACATACATTGTTGTCGACCATCACAAATATCTCTCCAATCCAAACATAGAAGACCAAATTCGCACTCTAACGTCTTGTAACAGACTAGATCACCCTCATAGTTCAGTTTAGTTGTTCTATGAATGAATTTTGTAGCGACAGTTTCTTCAAAAGTGACACCAACTGGAAGAGAATATTCACAATATTTGCCAAATGTTCCTTCATTAGTACAATTGCATATGTATTCTTGAGTACCATTGATTTCTTCCGAATGATTCAAATAATGGACAAATTCTTCAAGTCGATCGAGTGTCGATTTCCATCCATGTAAGATTTCACTCACTGTAATATTATTTTGTTTAAGAAATTGAAATGAATATTGAATTCCGTCGTGACAAGTCCAACGGAGAGAATTTCTTTGCAAAGAAATGGGTTCCAAATGTCGACGACAATAGAAGATCGATTGATGAAATAAACAATCATAAAGTTGAACGAATGAACTATCTTCACTATCAGTGAGATAAATCGAAGTTTCACCTTCAGTGATACAACAGAGAAGAAAAATAATCGGTAGTCTTCTCATCACTTTCTGTTATGATGAATGTTGCAAATGTGTTTTCTTCGTATTGAGAAGAAATATATAGTACTTCTGCAATGTTAAAACGCCTTCATGTTGATCTTTTGCAGATTGAGATATGACAAAACCTTCCTTGACGTGATGAAATCTCTGTTCATTTTCATTATCTGTCAAGTCACGTTCACGGAACTCTGAAGGAAATCAGGCGAAGAGAAGAATAGTTTTTGTCACGCAAAAGATCGTTACATTTTTCTGCACAACGAAAAACTAATGTCACATGCATCTCAAGCAACATTGACGTCTTTCTGGGTGTGGATGTGGGTGTAGATGAGATACCCATACCCACCCAGTCACAGCCACACCCACACCCTAGATAGTGGGTGTGTGTGTGGGTATGGGTGTGGGTTGATGAGGGTCTGGGTGTGGATGTGGGTGTGGGTGTGGGTGTAGGTGGGGTGTGTGGGTGTGGGGTGGGTGTGGGTGTGGGTGTGGGTGTGTGGGTGTGGGTGCGGACGGGGGTGAGGAGGCGAGGGCGGGTGGTCCCGACAGCGCCTCCGGAGC